TTCGTCCATTAATGTCACATGACATATCTCATGATCTCTCATTTCCCTCACACAAAATAATGCGTAATCGGAACTGAGTACTTCTCACATTATTCCCAAAGTCCTAGGTAGTAACCTTTATCGCCTCCAAAATGTCGCCAAACTACCTGTTACCATATTCCAAAGATTAGCCGAATAGTCTACACGTAAAAAATAACTAAACAGATTGAAATTCAATCTAAACAGGTGGCATAAAATTAAAAATATCATTGAATATCATACAATTTCAATTTTTAGTAAAAGTATAGTTTAGGGTACTCCTTGGCGAAATTTGGCGTTACATACATACCGATTTTGTCCAATTCTTCGACTCGTTATTTTGTCCTGCGAAGTGGCAATTTTTGCGCCAAAAATCACCGCTACACAAAGCCAAAATAACAAGACAAACAACTGCACAAACTCGGTATCCATGTACACATCGACTTATTTTCACTTGAAAAAAAACACCGAATTACACAAAAACGGCATTGCGCACTCCTTTGACTTTATCCATGTAGACGTCGACCTATTTTCACTTAAAAAAAAATCCTCAAATTGCACAAAAATGCATTGCGCACTCTTTTAACTTTATCCATGTACACGTCGACCTATTTTCACTTAAAAAAAATCCCAGGATTGCACAAAATTGCATTGCACACTCCTTTTACTTTGTCCATGTACACATCAATATATTTTCACTTAAAAAGTCAAAGGAGCACCAAAGTCTACAATATAGGCAAACAAAAAAATACATAATCTCAATAAAATACATTTTAAACCAAACAATAAAATAACATAAAAAAGGAAAAACATGTGGCTGATCTTTGAAATATGGTAACTGGTAGTTTGGCGACATTTTGGAGGCGATAAAGGTTACTACGTAGGACTTTGGTAATAATGTGAGAAGCACTCAGTTCCGATTACGCATTATTTTGTGTGAGGGAAATGAGAGATCATGAGATATGTCACATGACATTAATGGAAAAATTACAGTTTGTTTTAATCGGAAAAGGGGGGAAATATGGAAATTTCGTATTTAGCTATATTCTGTGTTGTGTTGAAACGTGACTTAATAGACAAATTAACAGTTCTTTAATCGGAAAAGGGGTTAATTTGGAAAGCTTCATTGTGTGTTGTGTGAAATAGTGTTGATTAATTTTCGGATTGCATGGCGCTATGTTAAAGTGAATTCTAAATTTTTAATGCGTTTATCTGATAATAATAATGAGATTGTGTGTGAAAGGAAGGATATTACAGTTTAAGTTTAATGGTGGTGCAAGAAATATGGTTGAAATGGACATTTTGTGAAAAGGAGTGTAAGGAAGGGTACGTGGTTTACTTAAAGTAGTTTGAGTATAGGTGAAATTTTATTAATTTCTTATTACTTGGTGAATAGACTTCCAGTTGACTACTGGATTTAGGATTTAGAAATTAGCAGTAGTACTGCAGCCAAGTAATGAAGATTCTGAAGAAGATTAGGTAAGTTAGTATTTTTAATCATTTGAGCATATTTTTTTTATGCATGTTGTTTCTAAATGTAAGGGATAAATAATATGTGGTATTATTGGAAAATTGTTATTAGCCAATGATTTAGTTTAATAAGTAGGATTGTAATCTAATTTTTATTAATTTAATGTATGTGCTATTTATATTTTAAGTAGTGTTTTTTATTTTAATTCTATTTTAATTTAATGATCGTGATTTTGTGAGTTATATATTTTGTAAAATTTTGGAATACGTTTGAGTAGTATACGTTGAGTATTTTCATGCATTTTCGTGAAATTTTTCTAATTTATAGAAAAAAAGCAGTGTACATGGATATAGTGAAGAGTGTGCACAATGCCCATTTTTGTGCAATTCTGGGATGTTTTTTAAGTAAAAATAAGTCGACGTGTACATGTTTAGTGATATTTTTAATTAAATGATAGTTATTTTGTGGATTTTATGTTTGTAGGAATTTGGTATACGTTTTCAGTTGAAGTAATGTGTATGGAAATAATTTAAAATATTTGACACTAAGTATTTGTAACTATTTTTAAAGTTTTGCGATAAATTCGTTTGACGTTTATAATATTCTTGGGTAAAGCTTTTGGATATTTTTTTTATTTTAGAATTTGGGTATTTTGGAAATTTTATTTTTTTTTCGCGCATTCAGGTAATTTCATATATGTGCTTTTTACCGAGTTTTTTTTAAAGATTAAGAAAATTTTTTCCTGCAAATTTTTGTAATTTATGAGAAAATAGCAGTGTAGATGTATAAAGTTAAGAGTGTGTGCAATGCCATTTTTGTGCAATTCTGGGATTGTTTTTTTAAGTGTAAATATAATCGACAAACGCGCAAGGAGTTGATTCTGCACTTTTTTCCCAATTTTGCAGTTATTATTTGTCATGATTAAGCATTTGTTACATAAAATTTTGCATCATGTAATTCCCTATTTTTTTTTGCGTTGTGGAAAAAAGGTTGAGTAAATAAAAGTGTCTTTACTTCGTGAAGACAAATGGCGGTGAAAAAAAAATAGAAGGTTGCTGTAGCAGAGTTGGTCACCAAATTTTTTCGCCAAAAAATCGCCAAGTTACCATAATCCAAAGATCAACCAAACATGTTATACATTTAAGCACTACCAAAAGCAAATATTCACTTACCATGATTTTCGTACACTCGTACTTCGTACACTAAGAGCCACGTAAAAATCAAAATATCAATCATACTGAAATAACTTTTTTCAAACCAGGTACTCTTTCTAATCGAATGCTTCACATAGTGACCATCTGAACCTTTCTTCCTACAAACCCATTCAAACGGTTTTAACACACACCACAAAAACGCTTACAAAACATCCCATCATTCAAAATTTCCCAGAATCATGCACCCGATTACATCACAATAGGGTTTCCATAACATTCAATTAATCAGGCTACCATAAACGAAACAACAACTTGGCGATAAAGCAAACAACTACTTTGCCATAATACAAGGGGTACCTTAAAGTCTACTCTACCCCAATTTTTGAATATAACCGTCACCACACATATTCCATCAAATACGACTCTAAATGGTGGCGAGCACTGCCCTGCTGACGTTTATTACTTCATTTAGCCTTGCCTCACAATCACTCAACAGTTGGGTATGACAGTTGGTTTTGGGCTCTATAAAATTGTAATTGTGATTTACAGTGAAATGTTCATACCTAGCATTTCTTAATTCCTCTTTCTTATATCCTTTCCAGCAGTTTGATAATATCATGCTGCCATCTGCGACGTTTTCCTGGATGGCAGTCATCAATGCTGTAGCGCAACGATTGGGAACGGTGACCAGAAAACCCTTTTTCTGTTTTTCAGCAAAACCCCCGAACACCCATTGTTCCAAAGAACACATCCAATGTTGTTTTTACTTTTTGTAAAAAGACTTTCGTCTTTTTCTATGACTTTTGTCATCTTCACCAATTTTATTTCTTTTAAGAGACATCAAACTATTTGCACATACCTCCCTAAAGTAGTTATTCCAGTTTTACTGTCGTATCATGGCTGATTTCTAACTGAAGTTGACAAAATTCAATTTCTGTCAAACTGCGGCGTCGATTTCTGATACCACAGAAAAAATGAACGACATTGACGAAGAAGAGACACGAGCCTTTAACCATGTTTGGCTTCTCAATCCTTTTTTTTTTTTTTATTTTTCCACAGCAAGAATATATGCAACACCATATAGGAGCTTTGTTCGAGTGAAAAATTAACTTCAGCGAATAATTTTGAGAACAAAGTCAACTGCTATCAATTATTCCTTTGTCCCAATGGAATCTTATGGCAGTCTCTTCTTCATTAGGTAACTAAAAAATCATGTAGTCCTTCGTATTAAAAAAAAATGGCAAAATACGGCCAAAAGAAATAATGAGATGGTATTTCAAACAAAAACTAGAAATCTCAAGCCTCGATATTTCAAATGTTAAATTCTCGAGCCACAATATTTGGCATGTTGTTATATCATTGCTTTCTCATTTTTTCTTCATTTTTAACCGACGCTATTTAACCGACGACTAAAATAGAATCAAAATAACTAGTGGGATAAAAGTCCAACTCTCTCAAAGTGCACAGATTACCTTTCTTTTTGTCCTTATTAATAACTATATAACCTTGGCTAATTATATACTTGGGTGAGCAAACTAGAGTTAAAACTACTGAAATTCAAATATTTATTTTTTACCTTAAAAAAACTTCAAAGATACCACGAAAATTGAAATAAATTCTATTTTGATGGTGCTTGAATATGGCAAAGTGCATGAAGGCCATCTGCCTAAGGAGAAGAATGCCTTCGTGGACTACTTTCTGATGGAAGCTGTTACACATGGATTCAAGATAAAAAAGCAGCCAGTCCTTGAAAACCAATTTTGAAGGCAGCCTGTTTGCCTATATTCCAACACAGATCAAACTGGTAGACTTCAATTGTCTTAATTGTTTTGGAGGGGAGGAATAAAACAAAATTTGAAACTAATGATGAAAACATAGAGAAGTGTCCATAATTTATTTACTTACTGAAATATTAAATATTAGTAAAAAATACCTTTGGAAAACAGGAGGCAAACAATTACAGACTGTTATCAACTGAATAATTTTATATAATTCAGACTACACATAAATTTTAAACGTTAATTAACAATTATATAAATTATAAAATATTCAACTTTAATGGAATAGCATTAGATTGCTACCAAAATAACATTTAAAAAAAAATGTGGAGTAAAATAAAGTATTTACATAGTAAATTAAAATTCAGAATTCAGAAAAATTAAATGCAATACTAATGTAAAAGAAAAACTATTTTTACGCAATAAAGTTCATTATAAATTTAGTTAAAGTTTCAATTATTATACATATTTAAATATACGAAAGAGCTTTCCCAGAAGTAAAATTAAACGTTACTTTATACATGAAATGTATTAAATATTATTAAAAAATTACATATGTTAAAAACGAGGGCGTCTCACCTTCGGCTATAACTCTCTTCACCCGCAATTTTTGTTTTTCAATTTCTACTACTTCACCTACAAACCCATGCTCTTCTCTTGGTGTGTTGCTGGAAAAATAACCAATAGCAGATTTAAAAAGATCTGACATGTCTTTTATTATATATATAGATATATATTTCTATTCACGGTAGTAGCATTATAACAGGGAAAAAATCATTGAGCTTTAAACGAACAACACGAAACCAACAGAGCCATGAGTGAGCTCGACGAATAGAAACACTTCTTTCCTTCTTCTTCGGAGGGTCGTTTTTGTTAGACATCTGATGTGGCCAGCCTAAAAGTTCAGATTTCCTTTTAAGTTCGAATAATACCTATATATTATTTATTTCTTTTAAACAAGGGAAATAAAATTTCAAATGTGACATTATGAAGTTTTTTTTTAGCGCTCATCTGACTTCCATGAACTTATTCTTAGGCATTGGTCTAATAATAGGTTACAAATTCGCATGTATTTATTAAGTCATTAAATATACACGAAGATTGTTATGTACTCAGACTGCATTTTATTAATCATCAAATTATCTAATGGTTGCAAATTCTTTATAAATTTTTTTAAATGTTAAAAAAAAATTCATTAATTACACAAAATTAAAACTTATTATATACTAGAATTTTACTTATTCTTTGCTGAATAACAATTTAGTTTGATCTATATTTTAATATAAGAAATTAGATTGTCTTGTTTATTCAGTAACGGTATTCCTAACTCTGGTCAATAATACAACTCAACTTCTCTTTATCTTAAGGCGCCCTTGTATTTAAACTGTATATTTGTGTTTTGGTGTAAATAATTTTATTTCTGCGCTGTAAAAATAATTTTGTTGTCAATAGATACATTTTAGAACTTACTTTTAGAAAGTATTTTCAACATATGTGTTTCTTTCATTACTCCTGTAATAAGATAAGAATGAACTAAAATATATAAATTTATAGTGAAATTTTATTCGGTATGGTGTCGTCTCCGACGCGCTAAGGTGGTATATTTATATTAAATCTCATCATGGGAGATTTTAAAGTACGTCATCACGTAAGTGAATTAATCAGACTTCTTGGGTATGTATTTGACATTTTGCTTCTAAATACCTGATATGTTTTAATGTTACAGATATTGTATTGTCATTAGCAAATCCTATACTTCAGTTGACTGAGATACCCGAGGAAAGAAGAAACTAGCTTTACGTTAACTATTTCATGTGGAAAGTATTACGAAGAGCAGACAGTGACCGAGATTCAGAAGACTGTAACTATTCTGTCATCTTAGAGAATCAATAATATTTTGGTTAATCTTTACATTATGGTAACTTGGCGATTTTTTGGCGAAAATTTGGCAACCAACTCTCCTACAACAACCCTCTATTTTTTTTTCCCCGCCGCCATTTTGTCTTCACGAAGTAAAGACATGTTTTTTCTCTTATCTACTGAACACTTCTTCCAACAATCTACTAGCCGAATTACACTTATGCTAGAAATTTTATCAAACAAAACTGCTTAATCATAACAAATATTCACTGCAAAATGGGAAAAAGTGCACGATACTATACTCCTTACGCGTTTTTCAAAATAACACATACATAAACCTTACAAAACAAAACCGACTTATTTTTACTTAAAAAAATTCCAGAATTGCACAAAATGGCATTGCGCACACTGCTGCACTTATCCATGTACACTGCTTTTTCTCATAAATTAGAAAAATTTCACGAAAATACATGACAATTTTCTCAATCTTTAAACCCGTAAAAGAACATATATGAATTACCTGATCGCGAAAAAGTATTTACCTTTTACAAATATGAACATTTCCACTATAAAATAATAAAATATCCAAAAACTTTTACCTCTAAATCATCTATTACATTATACACGTCACCACGAATTCATACCGCAAGCATTACAAATACTTAGTTCAAATATTTAAATTATTTCCATGCACGTTTATTCAACTAAAACGTAATACCAAATTCCTACAAACATAAAATTCACAAAATAACTATCATTTCATTAAAATAGAATTAAATTCAAAAACACTACTTAAAATATAAATAAGCACATACATTAAATTAATAAAAATTACCTTACAATCCTAATTACTTTAAACTAAATCATTGCTAATAACAATTTTCGGTTGATCTTTACAATATGGTAACTGGTAGTTTGGCGACATTTTGGAGGCGATAAAGGTTACTACCTGGGACTTTGTTAATAATGTGAGCAGTACTCAGTTCCGATTACGCATTATTTTGTGTGAGGGAAATGAGAGATCATGGTATATGTCATGTGATATTAATGGACAAATTACGGTTCTTTAATCGGAAAAGGGGAATCGGGAAAAAATCTGGAAGTTGTATTTTGGCTTTATTCTGTGTTTTGAAACAGTGTTCGTGAATTTTTGGATCCCATGGCCGTAACTAAAGTGAATTCGCATGGTTATTTTGTATGTATTAATTTACTGTATGTGCCTCATTTATATTATAGTAGTTTTGAATTATTATATTTTAATTAAATGACAGTTATTTTGTGAATTTATGTTTGTAGGAAGGGTATAAGTTTTAGTTGAAGTAAACGTGCCTGGAAATAATTTAAATATACTAAGTTTTTAATGGTGCGGTATGAATTCGTTGGTGATGTGTATCATGTACTAGATGATTTAGAGGTAAAACTTTTTGATATTTTATTTATTTTATGTGGAAATGTTCATATTTGGAAAGGGTAATACTTTTTCGCGATCAGGTATTTCTAATGTTCTTTTTACCGGTTTAAAGATTGAGAAAATTGTCATGTATTTTCGTGAAATTTTTCTAATTTATGACAAAAAAGCAGTGTACATGGATATAGTGAAGAGTGTGCGCAATGTCATTTTTGTGCAATTCTGGGATGTTTTTTTAGTAAAAAATCAGTCGCGTGTACATGGTTTAGTGATATTTTAATTAAATGATAGTTATTGTGAATTTTATGTTTGTAGGAATTTGGTACACGTTTAAGTTGAAGTAAACGTGCATGGAATAATTTAAATTTTTGATACTAATTATTTGTAATGCTTGCGGTATGAATTCGTTGGTGACGTGTATAATGTAATAGATGATTTAGAGGTTTTTGGATATTTTTTTATTTATTTTATATGTGGAAATGTTCATATTTGAAAGGGTAAATACTTCTTTGCGATCAGGTAATTTCATATATGTTCTTTTTACCCGGGTTTAAAAGATTGAGAAAATTGTCATGTTTTCGTGAAATTTTTCTAATTTATGAGAAAAAAGCAGTGTACATGGATATAGTGACGAGTGTGAGCAATGGCCATTTTGGCAATTCTGGAATGTTTTTTTAAGTAAAAATAAGTCGGCGTGTACATGGTTTATGTGTATATGTTATTTTGAAAAACGCGTAAGGAGTATGGTATTGTGCACTTTTTTCCCAATTTTGCAGTTGAATATTTGTCATGATAAGCAGTTTTGTTAGATAAAATTTCTAGCATAAGTGTAATTCGGCTAGTAGATTGTTGGAAGAAGTGTTCAGTAGATAAAAAAAGAAACATGTCTTTACTTCATGAAGACAAAATGGCGGCGGAAAAAAAAATAGAGGGTTGCTGTAGGAGAGTTGGTCGCCAAATTTCGCCAAAAAAGCCGTTAACCATAATGTAAAGATCAACCCAATTTTCCCAATAATACCAATTCCTTTCCAACCTTACATTTAGAACAATGCATAAAAATAATATCCCAAATAATTAAAAATACTAACTTACTTACCTAATCTTCTTCAGAATCTTGATTACGTGGCGGATACACTTTTCTAATTCATTCAATAAATTATTGAAAGATTTTTTCTCTGCGAATTTTTCCTCCTACTTCCTCCGCTAAATGAAAAGCAAACTTCCTTTATCACAATGCCTAAATACCCATTTCGAATTCACTTTAGTTAGGGCCATGGGATCCAAAAATTAAGCACACACTGTTTCACACACAACACAAAATAAAGCTAAATACAAATTTCCACATTTTTTCCTGATTTCCCCCCTTTCCGATTAAAGAACCGTAATTCGTCCATTAATATCACATGACATATCCCATGATCTCTCATTTCCCTCACGCAAAATAATGAGTAATCGGAACTGAGTACTGCTCACATTATTACCAAAGTCCCAGGTAGTAACCTTTATCGCCTCCAAAATGTCGCCAAACTACCAGTTACCATATTGTAAAGATCAACCAATATTTTTTATTTCAATTTAATCATCTATTTATGTCACACCTGCCATCCTCTGAAAGGTTATTGTTAGAAAAGCATTAACGGTATATTACCTTGTTATAATTTTACACCATAAAAATTGATTTATTCTCATAATTTTAAATGACAATAACCAATAATAAAAACAAAAGCATTACTTAATTATTTAAAATGCACATGCACATTTTTGCTGCCTATGGAAACAAATTATTTTAGAAGTTAGAAACCTCATGGTTCTTAGAGCTGTTAATAATTAAGAACACTACGTAAACAGCCGTGTTACAAATTAGCATTGACACCTCCCACCCTATTTTCTTCCTTTCATCCCGAACCGAGATGAAACCGCCAGCCATCTATCTACGAAAGAACTATCTACGAGAACCGGCATCTATCTACAAAAATATATCTATTCGTTGTTAAAAAATTCAGAACAAATAATAATAAATAAGGGAAGAATAATATAAATCTGCAAATGCGAACGACAGTGATAATTCAACAAAATGAATGCAAAAGGAATGGTTGCAAACTTCGAACAAGCGAATAGGATAAATCCGCTGGGTTACCAGGTTTGAACTATTATCGCCAAAGTTGGCAATGTTTACATTTACTGGGTTCTCTGCGGAAATGCTTCCAAAATTTACCTTTGGCGAATCATTTCATTTTTTTCATTTTTTACGCCAAGATCGGCATCAGAAAGGATGGGCACGAATTTCAAGATGATGCCAATTCTTCCGTCTGCTACACAAAACCAAAACAAGAAGTTAAAGACTTAACACAATCTTGGTGTTCATGTATACATCGCCCTATTTTAACTTAAAAAAAAGTAGAGAATTGCACAAACTAGGCATTGTGCACTGCAGCTTTGTCCATATACACATTGATCTATAATCACTAAACAAAATCAGGAAGCTAAAACAAAGTTAAAACTATCATGTTAACCAAAATAATTCGCTGCTGTCTTAACATACAGATACGAACAAATAACCAAAAGTACACAAACAGAGAGTAATAAATAACCAAAAATACATATTTCCTAACATAAAAACATTAAACAACAAATCTTTTAACAAAAATTAACACACACAGATGAATAAATAAATTAAACTTCAATTTTTTAACATACCTTTTTTCATGTGCATACGTTCACGCTTCCCAAGCACCATCTCCTTCATCCTCCACGTAAGCAATTCAATTAAATTTTTGGTCGTTTTGGCTCATCCACTGTTAATGACGGGTAAATGCATATTATAGTGTCCAAACCATCAACTTTCATCCTCTTACTTAGCTCAGACATACTCAAATGATGTTATCCACGTCAAAATACAACACCAACGCACATGCAACCAAACACAGCAATTGAAAATAATGGTAAGATTAAAATCCCGGTCCATACAAAAGGGTTACTATTACAAAAAATAGCCCAATCTCAATTTATCACAACACGTTTGGTGATATTCGTGGAAATAATGCCTTTTTAATGACAAAAACTAAAAAAAAATCCAGAATTTTCTCCAACATTATCAACATTAGGGTTACCAAAAAACCTATTTCATGCAGCGGGCTTCCAGATTTCACAAACAATCAATACCACTTGGCAATTTTTTCAGACAGAAACCAAGGGGTACCGTACAATAAAGATCAGCTGTTTGTTTTTATATTCTTTTTGCACATTTGTATTTATTCCAAAAAATTAATATAATAATTTTCATTAAAAGTGCAATAATTTTTTCTTACCCGTTTATTTGATAATATAACATATGCGGTGATTATTTCATATATTTCTAATAGAATTTAAAAGAGATATTTATTGACTTAAAATTTAGATCACATCA